TAAATACAAACAATAGAATGCACAACAGCAGACACTACACTTAATCCATTTCATTACATACAAACACTAAAGCTACCACTGCAAAAAGCAGCTTAAAATAACAACAACAGGAGCCCATTTACTAATGCTAGGTGAGTGAACCACATCTCCCATCATGCATTACAGGAAACAACTACGACTTCGGCCCGACTACAACACCCAGAGTGCACCGCGAATCAGGAAGTAAGCGCATAGAGTCAAAAGCGCTTTGTTTCAAAAGTTTGTACCGTCAACTCAGACTAATAAACTTTAACAGTAATTGGCGGATTAAAACAATGCACTCGCCAAGCGACCACAGTGAAAAAGTTATAAACATCCGACCAGTTAAAGGGCAACAACAGTCGATCAAGCAGTTTAAAACAACCAGCGAGAGAATATTAAAACCCAGCACCTTACCGGTGATGTGCGTCGCTCTTCCAGCCGTGCAATTGGATTCTGTCTCTGTGCGTGCACGCTCCTGTTTATCTACGCATCACTAGGAACACTACATCCAACGGCAAGCCAGCACACCAAACCAGGTGAGTGCCACCTCCCACCTAATCAGCTGTGCTGCGTTACACCTGATCACCCGTGAGTTGACGTTGTTTACTCACCACCAAATGACAGTGCACAAAACAGTGTGGGAGAGGGGGCAGTTCAGACCCCAACCTGGGAGAGAGAAAAAAAAAACATTCACAATCTCAATCACGCCTTCCCTCCCTAGTGCCCCCACTCGCACCCCTCCTTCCAACCTTCTTTGGGGAGAGCAGAAGTGACAGCCCCGCCACCTGCAGGCCACCTAGGCCCCACAGCCGGCCCCTGCCAAAACCACAGACCAGGTGGCTCACTCTTCCTCCAGGCCCCAGACTCTGGGTGGCAGCCGGGGAACTAGCTAAACCTAAAATCCGAATGGGGGGGAGGGGAGCGGCGGGTGGCAGCCGGCTGCCACCCAGAGTCTGGGTGGCAGCCGGGGAACAGGGGTGTGAGAAGACCCCGATCCTCCCTGCGCCTGCTCATATGTGGTGTTGTTGCGTGTTGCTCTCAGATGTAATTAAAACTGGGAGTACCAAGAGGGGGTGTCCAGCACAGTCCAACCCCCCCTCCGGGAGATAAGCGGTGCCAGTGCACCCCCCCATTCGACAACCCTGAACCCTCAATGTCTAAATGCGAGAAGGGATGGAGGAAGCCGACCGTGGTGGGGCCAATAAAATAAGCCCCCCCCCCAGGTGGCCTTGACCCCCACCCACACACTTACAAACTGATGGTGGCACACCATAATTTTCACCTGGAAACTGCTAAAATGTTCAAAATTTCACAAGCAGCAGATGCTGGAGTTGGACAAATGAAATTTTTTGCTCCTCATCTCACCACATCATCTGCGAAGTTGATCTGCAACCTGAAAGGGAGACAGACAGCGGTATGATCACTCCACTGAAACTGTTTATTACCTCCTAAATTGACTTAACCTGCTGGCAAAATATGTTTGCTTTTATTATTATGGTGCCCACAGTTTATACCATATACCTGAAAAGTGGTAACGTTTACTTCTAGGCACCATGAACCTAGGATGGTGAGGAAGAGCAATTACTCTTAGCTCTGAAGACCCTTACATACAAGCCATGAAAACCTCAGAACTATTCCCCCCCATATGTATTAATGTTTTCATATATATATATATATATATATATATATATATATATATATATATATATATATATATATATATATATATATATATATATATATATATATATATATATATATATATATATATATATATATATATATATATATATATACATACATACATATGTCCTTAGAGCAGTGATTGTTTTGGCATTTACATGCCTGTAAAGACAACAGATTGACAGTAACAGTTTGGGATCACAGCAAGATGAGAAAGTGACAGTGATGGAAAAGTTTTTGAGAAGGAAAAATGCGAATGTCGAACAGGGCCCTGGACAAAATTCTGACTTAGATGAAGGTCCTAGTATGAGTGGTCAACAAAGTTAAAAAGACAAAACAGTGAGCGCAAGGCAATACAGCTAAAGCTGTCTTATATTTAGATGTACTCTCACCGGGGATGCCAGAGCATCGACTCAGCTATGCTTTATGTGTCCAGTCAACACATTCTGTGAATGTGTTGACTGGACCAGGGACCCATGCAGCTTAGCATCCGTTACTGGAAAGGACATGACTTTAAAAGAGCAAGAGGAACTCATTGAACTAAACCAAGATTGTGGTTTAAAGTTATAGGGCAACAGCCGTTCCAACCGTTGCATTTCTGAAATATCCCGAGTGGTGGTCGACTTTACTTGAGTGAATAAAGTGAATGTGATTGGTTGTTTATCGAGAGGGCGGTATTGTTGTGGCAGAAGGTTCGCAAGCAAGTTTGATTGTGGCCGCTTTATCGACAGCATCTTGCTAACCAGTTAGCAACTTAGTGCTAGTAGGTTCCCAACGGGAAATGACATTGGGACCAAGTAGCACTAAATTGGTGATATAGAAACGACACTATCAAGGAATGCTATGGACAGCAGAAGCAGGCAAGAGGAGGAGAGTTTTGTGTTGGAGGTCGGGGATGAGTTTCCTCCATCATACATTTCTTATTTAGCGGAAGAAAGTGGGGATGTAGATGTTGTGGAAGAGGACGCCAGGGTGGCAGAAGCTTTGTTTGGTGTAGAAGGCTAGCAGCCGTACATTTTTGAGCCCTTGCCTCGCAACGCTACCAGTTCTGTTAGCTCTATGCCTGCCAAAGACACATACGTCCATCCCCATGAACAGTGAGATGTAAGTCAATGATAAAGTAAATGATTCTTATTTCTTTTTTCAAGATGCTTTGACAGAAAAAATTTGATCAACAGATGACTGCTCATATATATATGATATAATAGGTGTACAGGCTGACATATATTTAACTGACCTGCATAACATAACGGAAAAAAAACACACAGATATTAACAGGACAGGATTTTTTTTTTTTATAGAAATGTTCAAAATTTTGGAACAATATCATCTGATAGAGAGTACATTTATATATATGTTTAAGCCAGAATTAACATTTAAATGTGATTTCCATACGACTTTAGTCGGCCGTTTTTGGTTATCTGTTGAATTGTTTGAGTTCCAAATTCTGGCCAACAAAGCTATTTTGACATTCCTCCTGTTTTCAACTATATATCTATGTGAAATGAACTTCTCAAGCTTGACAATAAAAACTAAAAAGAAAGAGAGAACTATTGAGGAAGAGCTTTGTTTGTATCTTTCTACCTTTCCTCCCAGGATATCCCTTTGGTGTCATCAAAAGGTTTCACACTAAGTGAGTATACTGTAAATACATTTAGAAAATATATTATTAAATGTATCTATAATATGTACTGTGTTAGGACGTAATTTTGTGTCATTTTGGATGGTGGTGTGTCCCAGGCTTTTGTAAATGCAACCCGGTAGCTCAAAAAGACAAGGAAATACAGCCTGAATATGCCACAGTCTTGGTTCTGTTATGTTTTTCTTTGAGTATTCAGTTTAACTGTGCTCCATGTTTTCTAGTTTTATTGGTTTAATTCTTATTTTGTTGTGTTTTCTGGTAATATTTCAGTTCTTAGGTTTTTATTTGTGGCCCTCTGTTGCCCTCTTGTGTTGGTCTCCTTTTTCCCTAGCTCCTTAGACTGCTCTCCTCACACCTGCACCGAATCTGCTCGTTAGTCATCTTTGTTAAGTTAGCCATAAATACTCTCCTTGTGCAGTTCCTCAGTGCTGGTTCCTCGTCTAACTTCCTCCGACTTACTGTGTTACTTGTTTTACTTTTTTCATGTTTGATTTTTTGGATTTTTGTATATTTTTATTTGTATTCCTGCCTCAGTTGTCTACCTTTCATTAAATCTACAAGAAACTCACCTCTGCCTCCCTGCCTCTGCATTTGGGTCCTCAAACCACAACCAAATCCTGACAGAATGTTCATATGCAATAAACAGTCTCAATAGAGAAACACGCCTCAAGCCACAGGCAAAACTCACTTTGGAATGCAGACAGCCTGCTCTTTATGCTGGCTGTCCTCAAGGTTTGTTAGTGCTGTAATGAAACTTATTTCTTATTTTTCTTTGACAGAAGAAGTTTAAAATTCAGACCCATCCAGGTATTGTTAAGAGGCTGCAATGTTTGTAATTTAGGTCAGCCTGCATGTTGAGGATGGAGGAAAATGGCCGTGAATAAAAAAAAGATCCTGCTGTAGAAGAAACTTAACATTTTCAGTTCAACTCTAAAAATGCCAGACCACAGGTCTCTAACAGAATTGATTGTGACCACAGCACTGTAGAATGAGAAAAGATAAATATTAAATACACTAAAAAGGGACAGTAGTATTAGTAGAAATGAAAATTTAATTCTGCCTTAATGAAATCAATAAAGCTTTTTTTTTTCATTTATAATCTGTTGAATTAGTACTAGTTATTAAATACAAAATGGCCATATGTAAAGACATCATTATTCTATTTTAGCTCTCACATCACTAAGTAAAACCATTCTTGCTTCAAGACAGTCAGTCATGATGGCTTAAGTTTGTAAGGTAAAATAATCGCTCCTAAGGAGTCTCAACAAGTTCTGTCAGAGCAGCACTATCACACTGCAAAAACAATCTAAAAATAATTTTAAAATTCTTAAATTAAGTGTATTTACCCTTAATATCAGTGGGTAAATATGAGGATTTGCCAAATAATATGATAACATGCACTCAAAATAAGATAATTGTATTCTCTAATTTTAAATGTAAAATTGTCTTTGCTTTGGCAAGGTGTCTGCTATATCTCCTCAATAAAAGAAAAACTTATTTAGATTTCAATTTTATTGCAATGCAGCCGCACCTTGTAAGAAGAGAAGTATAAATATAGAAGTATAGAAGTATAAAAATATTGCATCAGCCTACTATTTACACAGCTCTATGCAATACTTAGAAAAAATGTAAATGTAGCCTCACCCTTTAAGGAGGGGAAGACAGTGAGACGCAGATATACATCAGTTTAAACATTTCGGTGGAAATGACAAAGTGAGGACAGCAAAGAAAACAAATGCAAAGGTAAATAAAAAAAATACTTTATTCTTTTTACTTCTATTTTATTTACCTTTTGAAAACACAAACCCAGTAATCAAAGCTAAAAATGTTGACTACTTTATCGTGAAAATCGGAGAGGAAAGTCCATTTAGGTTATTCTCCAACCAACTTCAGTTGAAAGCTGTTGTTTTTCTTAAATGGTTAGAAAGTTTCAAGTAAAGCTGCCTACTTTTAGTCATATACTGTACAACATTTGATTTTTTATTGCAAAAATATAAGTCACTGTGAACACTGGCCAAAATATTCATTCCAGTTTAAAACATATTGACTAAAGATTACACCCCTTAATCATGAAACATTCATGATTAATTTTTTTTTTATTAAAACTATTAGCTGAAATATCTTTGATTTTGGTTTGTAAAATTTTCTTTACTTTCAGTTATTATGCGCCTGCAATTTACCTGTTAATGTTTGTTTTTCATGTGTTCATCACATAAAGTAATTTGAGTCTTCTGTTTCTTTAAATTTGCTATATGGATAAACTTTCCCCTCCGTGTCTGATTTGACTGAAGAGTTATTTTTATTTCATCTGTTATAAAATGTTTCTCAAATAGTGTACATAAAGAAGGAAACATTTAAAGTACATTTATTCCAGTCATATTTAACAAAGTTATTTGTAAACAAATTTATATAAGCTGAAATTGCAGAGAATGTAAAAGCCCTGAAAAGGGGATAAGTGAGTAAATGAGCCACAGACACGTTGTTTCCTCTGCTTTAGCATATTAGTTGAGGAGGAAGTTCCAGTGCTCTTTAGTATGGCATACTGACGCTAGGCTCCCCCTGCTGGTCAGATATGGCACTACATGTGCTGAACCAAATAGAACATGACTGTACTTAAAGCTGAAGTCTGTAAGTTTTTAAAAATCACTTTTTTGTCATATTGGCTAAAACTGTCCCTATGCCCAGACAGCAGTACATGTGATATGTAACCTGTGAAAAAAACTGCTTCAATTGGTACCGCCTACTGCCTGTATTGCAATCTGGAAAGAATATTTCGGGACGAGACAAAACAACCAATCACAGCCAGAGGAGCGTCTGATGGAGTGTCAATCACAGCTCACACACGCTGAATCCCGCCCCCCCCCCCCCCGCCCCCCCCCCTCTGGTCGCATGCGGTAGCCGCGCAGATGCTGTGAGAGGGGTGGAGCTTGGAGGTGGGGCATGAGTGAAGCAGAGAGGGTGGGGGAGTGGCGTGAAACCTGTTTTTCTTCAAATTTTCAGTTGAAGTCTGCTCTCTCCTCAATGTTACAGACTGCAGCTTTAAACCAAACTGCTGGTAAGAACATTGTATATATGATATAAACCCCACTCGGGACAAGCGTGTAATAAAATGGATGGATGGATGGAAAATAACTTTCACATTTGTAAAACATAAAGTGTGCAAATATAACCAGAAACAGTAAATACATCTGACTTATGATGACCACATTTCAATCCATCACAAGAACATATTCACAATTTTTGTGTCCAGCATACCTTTTTGGCTATAGCTGTGGGACCAGATTTATGGCAAAAATCCAGTAAAGGTTTACCAATTTATCAGAAAATGCCACACCCAAACAGAAGGTTCTTCTTACATTCTCCCCCAGCAATATAAGGTGATGGTAGAAACACTCACGTCATCATAGGTCAAGCATTGGAATATCCCTTTTGCTGACTTGTTACCGTACACACGCGAGCAGTAACAGAAAATAATCAACACCGCTATCACAAGTGGAATTCACTCCTGGCAGCTTGACTGCTTTTGCCTGTTCGAAAATGTCAACGACAATTTCCACTCAATAGAGTTTTCTTCTTTATGATTTTAATGATTATTTAGAGACAGAAAATTGACCTGTGTTTAACCAACATAACCAGGCATTTCTAACTTATCTGATCAGCTTCGATTAATAACTCTGAGCTCTCCCAATTGAACTGACTAAGGAATTATTTTACTGTGTTGATTAATGTGCACATAAATATATTTCATTTGACCAACTACCTATATGCAATGAACTTAACTGTAATTAAAAAGCGCTCACTAACTTAACTGGGTTTAGTTAGACACTCACCAAATTTGGTTTTACCTAACTTACTTTATTTGTTACACTTGTAGTAGTCTTAAGTTGACAAACTAAGGAAGGCAATTTCAACAATTTCCACACAGTGTAGTTTAATAAGTTCAAAACAAACCAATTTAGTTTTGTCGCACATACATTTACTTTTTCAATAAGACACAGCTAAACAAACATTTGCTAAGTATTAATCATTCTTCATCACCATCACTGGGCTCAAAGGGCCGGATCTATCAAAGGTTTGCGTGTATAAAAACGTGAGCTATTTCACTGCGCACGCTAAAAAATGTACAAACTGATCTATCAACAGCGTGCTAAAAGGATTTGGTCTTTAAAACGTGCTAAATAGCGCCTCTTATCCTTTTAGTACTTTTTCTGCAATGAATATGCAATATGGGGCGTTTACACGCAAAAGTGCGTCTTGTGGGAGGAGAACATGTAAATATATTAATCTAGCACTCGCAAAGTGATTTATTAAACCTGAAAGCAATTTTGCTAACGGTATCTGACTCTATATTTAACACGTTTGCAAAGAAGGTGCAAATGGTCTGTATGCGTAATTGCGCACACATGGCAGCGGTTATTGTAGCAAGAAGGAGACATGGAAATGAAGCAAGGAGACGCAGAGAACGCATTTTTTCACTCCGTGTGAAAATTTTTGGAATGAAGGAGGAAACGATCATCAAAACATATCGTTTATCCAGCATTGCCATTTTGGAGCTGCAATTCCAGTGATTTGCTCCTCACAGAGCGTCAGTTGTACTTGTTCCTCAATGCTGGTCAGAGGCATCTCATCTACTGCGCCCCCTCCTCTTGTGTTCGCAGATGTTTTGTTATATGCCAGTTTTTCTTTGGTTCGCCTTCTAATATCCTGGTATCTTCTTTTTACTTCATCCACTGTTCGCAAGGTTTCACCAACAGCGTTTACTTTATTACTGATTTGTTCACATGTAGCGTTCCTCTGTGTGACAGGCACACTTCTTTGCTGTAGCTCACTTAAATGTTTATTGGCTTCATCCACCAATACCTCCATTTCCATGGGGTCAAATTTCCTTTTGCGCCTTCTGCTGTCCAAACTCGCCATGCCGCAAACCACAAAACACGCAAAAGCGTCATTTAAATAGGGCGTCTCCAACAGTTTTGCACCTGTCACCAGTTACGCAATCGCTCTTGTTAAATCACCCGCAAACCATGGTTCAGCCCCCCGCGCAAAATTCCAGTTTGCGAGCGCAAATTACTGCACGCAAAATTGGATCTTGATAAATCCGGCCCAAAGATGTTAAACAGAAAGGAAATTGAACTTTATTGATCTCACAATGGAGAAATTATCTCTCTGCATTTAACTCATCTCCTTGGGGAGCGGTGGGCTGTCACTGTGCAGTGTCCAGGGAGCAGTGTGTGGTTAAGGGTCTGTAGGGATCGAACTAGGTACTTGCAACCTTCTTAGAGCATAAGCACACTGCTCTAAACACTAGGCCAACACTTCCCAAGTGTATTTAATTAAGAGCAAATAAGTAGAACAGGTTATTCTATTTCCTCCACATTATTAAAACTCTAGCTGCTGATTTTCTATGTTGTGCTAATATTGTCAAAACCTATTATAATAAGAAACAACAACAAATCACTGTGGAAGAAAGGAACAAGATACACCAGGTTTAGGACATAGAAATAGTTATAGTTACATATGATATATACATTTAAATTTTTAATCTGTTGCATATGTATGTAAAAGAAAAAAAAAGAAGTTACCAGCATCAACTTCATACTCTAATGGCACATTCACATAACACAAAATTCTAGCAACAAAGTCACCCATTTGGGTGCTGTCACTCACCAGACATATCAGCAGCAATTTGCATGGGAGGCAACAGACTGCAGTCCTGTTGCTTCACAGTGTCATCAAATAGGAGGAGCTTCTTTCTGCTGCTTGCTGGTTTCAAATTAGCATGGTTGACCTGGATATTAGTGGGTGAGTCACTGTCTATCACAGAAATCTGAACAGTGGCATCATAATACAACATGCAGTTACTGATAGGTTGTCGAAATTTAGCTCATATTTTCTAGCAACTGTTGCTGCACGTGTAATGGCTCTATTTGATCAGATTATTCATGCCTGTCTCCAGGCTTGAAGCTGGTCCGTTTCACCATTGTGTCTGTATATAAGAATAACATCTAAATTTCTTGGTCCAAATGCTAGATTGCATTTGATGTGAAGGCACCATGACAGGCATCAATTGTGATGAAGGTTCAAAGCTAAACCTGAGTTAATTTAGAAACCATGGAGAGACTGCAGTGATTTGCCTCCAGAAAAATAGAAAATCTTTTCTCTTCCTCTGCAAAACACAAAAATGTGTAATTAATGTTACCCAGAAGAAATCTTAGCCATGCACGCATGGCTGTATCACTTACTCCTGAGGGATGTATAGCATTATTACATGGGAAATTTGGCAATATTCAATATTTCTAAATATCACCAAACCTTGTTTGATAAAAACAACAATGAATTACAATGTTATGACTGGCCAGACTGATCACAGGGGACTGTTTCACAAAGCAGATTTACTGAAAACTCTAACTTTTCTAAACCTGAAATCAGGGAAACTGATTCACCAAGAGAGTTTCATACTACGCCTAATGGTAGATAGGAGGCACAATCTGAAGCCATTCTATGGGACTGATAACCGCTACTGATGGGATGAAAACATTTGAAGCAGCTGCAAAGAGCCTCTTAGTATTTACTGTGTAATGGAAGATGGATTTAAACTGATGAGGAACCCCATGAGATGATGCTCAGGTCCTGCCTGTTTGAACAATGACTTCATTTTCACCTGCTGCTTTTTGCATTGCTTTGCACCGCTGAGCCGCTACCTTGCTTTTCCCCTTGGGAGTGCTACAGTACCCCCCACAGAG